CATGGTAGATTGTCTGGTTCCTGTTTGAAGTACATAAAGAATCATTAAAAATAACTTATGTAGGAAAGGCCCCTTTGGCTTCGGTCACTTTATCCATAAGAACGATTTTTTTCTGCATTTGCTTATCGGTTATCTTCAGCATTTACCCTATGGACATTTTTGATTACATTTTTAGTAAACATTTTAGTTTAACCATAGTAAGCATATCATCCTTTATTGTATGCAGCTAAAGTTCTTTATCCAAATGGATTGTTAGTGGAAATGTTCCAAACCTCAGCTAACACCAAAACTTGCAGATTTGGGGCTTCTGTGAACTTCTTATTTATTAAGTTTTATGGTTCTGTCTGCATGAGTTTTACTGGATATAATGGATGCATTATATATATAAATATACACACATACACACATATATATGCAGATAGAACATAAAACTGACAAATGTACTCTGTATTTTGCCACTTGGAGCTAGGATTTCAAGATATTGAGACCTGCTCCTTTGTGCTCATTTATACATTTTCAATATCTTAACACAATTTCTGTTTTTCTTCTGTTTACCATTCTTCTCCACCCTCAGCATAGAAACATTTTGTTTCAAGATGGAAGTAAGCAAATCTTTTTTATTGCAACAGTATTAACAAACAGTGCACTAGGTGTAGAATAGCAGAACTAGAAATGTAATTACAGAAGACAATTTTTCCATGTTTCACTTTTCCCCCTAAAATAAAATGTTCACCTGTTTAAAGTCTGCTTGGTTCCAGTTAGTTGTCTAAAAGCTTCCCATGGGGCTGTTCTGTAAAGATCACATTAAGTTCAGGTCAGAATGGCTATTTTCTTCCAATATTCTCTATCATAATACAAACGCTAATAAAGTTCCATTATTAGATCAGATAATTAGATAACATTTAAAGATAAATGTTAAGATTAATAATTAAGATCAATAAGAAGATTATAAATAAGCTTCAAGGTAGAATTTTGATGTCTCACAGACTGAAGTTTTTAATTCCGTAAACAAGGAGAAGACAATGGGATTATTTACATCTAGTTTTTTTAATCTGAAAAGTAGCATTAGAGACCAAATCCAGTTCACATAAACAGCAGAAAATTGCCCCTCAATTTTAATAGCAAGTTGATCTGGCCAAAGTTGCTCAGAAAATGAACATTTTCCCCAGTCTCCTTATATACTAATACCAGAAGAGAAGGTGTTTTTAATTTATGTACATGTGTGGGGTTTTTTTTACTGTTTATTGTATTATTGTATTATTAATACAATATTGTATTGTATTAACATTCTAATTAGGATAATAGAGAATAATAATTTTTCCTGTGTTCTGCTGCTATGTATTGCCTTCAACTTCCAGTAATTTCCCACTGTACTTATCTTCAAGATTATCAGAAATGAGCTTGTATTATTAACAGTGTCACACTATTTCTTAATTAATATAGGAAAGAGATACCCTGTGGAATAGGTAGCACTTCATTTGTAAAAGTACAACAAACAGTTGGGACAATGTTTTACCTATGAGCTGCCTATGAACTGTTTAATTCCATTAAAATGTAAGTCATTTAGGTTAAGAACATAACTTCACTAAATTAACAAATGTTAAGAAGCTGTAGTTTGAAAGTGGTCATATTTTCCCTTAATGAACTACTTTTTACCAGAGAAATGACAAAAAGCAAGAAATGTTCTGGTCAGTTCCTTGATAATCTCCTCTGGTTACACGCACCTGAAATACTGTGTAAAAAGAAGAGCCACTCCTTGTGGAATGGAAAGTCATAGGTAGTCATGTGAACCTGGTTATTCGTGACAGCAACTTGAACAAACATTCCCAGTCACTACACTGAAGTTACTGAACTTGTGAGTCAACAGATAGGGGGCTTCTGTGAATGGAAACCTGAACTAATTATTAAGAAAATCCTCCCAATGACTTGGAATAGACTTTAAAAAAATTATCCAAGGTTGAAAGCAGTTGATTCATTGCAGTCTCCCCAAAATCCAAGTCTATTCTTTTTATATAAGGAAGTCAATACTGATAGGGATTCAAAACTCAAGTCCTACATAAAGTTTAATGCAGGTGGTGGTAGTGACCAGTTTAATGAAAGGATAATTAAACAGGAAACAATGTAAAGGAAAGCAGTTCGCTGTTAACTAACTGGAAGTCTATTTAACAAATACTTTTCATTATTTAGATGTAACTTAGTATTCAGTCTGGATATAAATCAATGTATAGTTCAAATTTTTCCTTGTAGTTTAAATAATCTATTTTCACTTAATCTTTTTACTTAGCCAAACTCAAATGTTTAACTGACGTTATCTTTCATATACATAAAGGTAATTTAAGCTATTTTAACAATTAGCAGTTAATTTACCTATTGTTCAATATTAAAAAAATACGTAGGAAAGCCAAAACAATTATTCTGATTTATAAATTAGTCAAATCAAAGCAGTTTTATGTCTGCAATACATTGAAATCCTGTAGATGAAGCTCAAAACTAACACCTATTTTGGAAACAGATTTCCCCCTGAAGATAATGAAGTGCAGAATCATTTTGTTTACCAATACTGTTCAAACACTCTAGAGTGAGTGCAAATCTCAGGAGATGCTATTGAAGAATGTAAGTTTAAAAGGATTTTTTTCTCTGAAACATTAGTGTATACTCAATAAGAAAGTTTGACAATAAATTTCTTGACTTAAGTATAATACTTATAAAGATCAAATTTATACCTGTATCTAGCTATGAGTTTATTTTAGTTAGCAAGTATTTAAATCAATTACTGTATTGCATATAAAATTAGGAATAAAAAAGTAAAATAAGTTTAAGATTGATAAAATTGGAACATTGATGTGGTAATTCAGGAAAAATAATTTATTTTCACATATTTAAATATTTTATATGATTTTTTCAATTATGTGTGATTACTGTCCTTTGAATTTAGATTATTATATTCAAGAACAAACTTGTTAAAAATCAGTGGTTAAATCTCTAGTTGTTCAAGATCATCTCAACTAAGTGTTCAAGGACACAAAACATTCAGATTAACTAAGTGTTACAGAGGCCATGTTTAATCTGTTTAAACAAAAAGTAAGCTCAAGTACATCATTACTTAATGTTTTCAACAGTACAGTAGGGTTTTTTAATAGGATCAGAGCAGTCTAGCAAAAAGATACCTTTGTCTTCATCTCCTAATTTTGAATGTTTGACATGGTGACTTTTATCATATATTGAACAGATTTGTGCACTTGTACAAAACTTAATGAAAAATTAAAATCACATTAGACCACACTTTTGAGAACATATTCCAGCATTTCCAATGGATTTTAAAAAGTTGTAAGGAATAAAAGGGGGAGAAAAACACCACCAGTGTAGGAATTATGTACCTTTTTATGTACAGGAATTATGTAAATTTTTAGCAAAAATGAAATGCAAGGAAGTAGCAAAAATACTAAAATTGAAAGCTTAGAAAGTGATATTTCGGAAGAGAAATAGTTGATCTTTTTAGGTTTTTATTTTTAGCACTGTGAAGTCAAGATTACTCAAATTTGAAGTATTTTTGAAGTTTTTTCCCTCTAATGTGTCTGTTTTAAATTTCAAACAATGTCATTTTAAAGAACAGTTGTATCTATTCAACCAATTAGTCCAGCATTAATACATAAGTTGTTCAAAGTTCAGCGTGCAACAAATTGTGAAGTATTGGGGGGTGGGTTTCTCTTTGAAATTATATCTTGAGTAAAACATCTTGACACGTTTATTGTGCAGAAAATTCCAATTTCTTTTTAAAAACCATAGTTGTCTGGGATTTCAGGGTAAGCTATTTTCCAAAGCATATCTATAACTTTTACAAAGTTGGTTTTGTTTTTTTTTTTTATGGTAGTGTACTTACTGTCCCCTAGATGTATGAACCAGCAATGTGATTAATGTAGAGGTAGCTGGACATATACAATTTAGAGCGAGCATAGCATATTTGAATTCCTCTTCACACACAACGTGATCTGTAGAAAAAAAATACAAAGAAGATGTAAATTGTTTTACGAAAATACTTGAACAGAATTACCCCTTGCTTTCCTTGTCTAGGAAAATGGTAAAGATAGGGACAATCAAAATTTGCCTCCAGGTCTTCATCTTCCACTTGAACCTGAAGGGCAGCTGTGTATGATTCATCCCATCTATGCGATCTCTCAGACTGCATGAGTAAATTTTGCGTCCAGTTCATACTTTCCATCCTGCAGCTACACATGGAGAGGATGCAATGGCTCTGTGAATCCCACTTCCACTATCTTGCTGTACTAATTGTATGAGTAAGCCAAGTAGCACAGTATCTTGTGTATCATCTTATTTTGTGTCTTTTGGACCTTCTGCAGTTTTGCATAAACTGGTATACAGACATCAAGCATTCCACACAGATTCAGGAAATAGCATACCTGGGATACTGCAACACAGGAGTGCTGATTGATTAAATGGGCTGTACTGGCTTGCAGACCAGTTACTTGGCAGTTGCTCTAGGATTTTGCATTGCACTTCAGTGTGTGATATAGATTTCACTAGTACTGCCCCACTGCCCCCCAAAGGTATTAACTGCAGCTTCTGCCTCCTTGCAACCTAGGCAAGGGGGGTTGTTGTTTTTTCTTTTCCATTATTTTTACAACTTTGCATTCTTTTTACCTCAGTCCTTTTCCAGCTTTTGTAATCACAAAATGGTGCTTTGTTTTTTAGAGTCCTTACAAGAAAGTATTCTTGCACATTAGTACTTGCTGGAACAGTACTATAGACATAGGGTTTTTTTCTGTCTTTTCATGGAATTTAGGGGAGGGGAAGTGAGAAGAGAATGCAAAAGAGGCATTATATCTAGTCCTCTGTATTGGCTTATCCTTAAAACTGCTAAATATTCTGCATATGCTTTCAGCATTGTATTAATTATTATTCAACTTGGATGGCTAGTGCTTAAAATTCAGATCACCATTAAATGGTCTCCACTGCTGCTGACAGCATGAAAAGGAGCTAGAAATTACTCTTTAATGTCATTCACGTATACCTCACAGTATTAAAACGTGTAAGAAGGGATAAGCACAAAACTTACAACTTAATTAGACTTCCTGTCAGTGTAGAAATTTAAAGTCGTAAAAGTTTTCTAAGGTCATGAAAGCGTTTCTTGCATGCTAAGTAATCCATTTTCTTCTGAGTTCAATGTTTGATTCAGTCTATGTCACTTTCAATGGGAGCAGAATTTGCTTTTGAGGAGAAAGAATATCGCAAGTAGTATCGCTGATGATCAAAACATAAGCCATATGAATACTGCTGTGTAAAAGTAAGCAAATAATCTCCCCACCTAGATCTGAGCTGTCTACATACTTCTATTTGCATTAAACTATCATTGAAATCCTTAGAACCACCTTACCTCTCTAACTAAGCAAGCTACATTCTAGACAGAATTTATAGTATAGCTATAAGCATGCCACTTACTGAAAACGAAGTGAGGGCATACTTTGTATGCCTCTATTCCCTTTTTTGAAAATTCTAGAGGCTTTTCAGTAACAGAATCATTGACTACTGAAAGGAGAAATTCATTCTCTCATTTTCTAAAGATAAAGGCCTATTTAAATGTCACATGGAAGGAATGAATTTAGTTATATAAGGACACTGTCAAATATAGAACAAAATGAGATTTTTTTTCCTCCCCTAAATATATTTCAATTACAGCAATTAAATATTTCCTGCAGAAAATATTTCAGACAGAAATGTGTTCTTTTAGTTGACCATGTGCCATTAATAAATCTATTTGAATTTTAAACTAGAGATTTTGAGAGAGTAAGGCATAGTCTACCGCTTGGAAAAAAAAATATCTGCATTCCATTACCATTAGTCAAAGGGCACAGATTTATGAAAGTGAGTATTGCCTTCCTGATATTGAAGGAATGAGAATTCTCCCTATTTTTGAATTTGTATAGGATTTTGCCAAATAACATCCCCTTATTTTTCATTTTGTTGTTGATATACTATAGCTAATACTTATGAAAATATGAGCAAGAAAAAATATACAGGAAAATTATTTCATCATGTGTTGTTTCAGATCTTGTACTTGAACCAAATTGTACATGCTGACCTAAATACTTGTAAATGAAAATGAATAAATCATGGATGGCACAATGCAAATTAAAAGTATATCTCAGACTTAAATCCTCCATATGTTCTATAGTCTCTAAAATATATGGTGGACTTTTTGGATGGGTTTTATGTAAAATATTGTGTTAACAGAGAATATAGGATACAGCAAACAGGACTGCTGTCCTACAATAGTCAGCCTAATCTCATATGTGTAAGAGATTCACATTGTGTTGTCAAGCGTTTTTACATCAGGAGCCCTGGAGCTGGGACTTTATCCACTCCTGTTGTAGACTTTGACCTTGTGTGAGCTATTTATGCCCTTCAGGACTTTTTATGCATCTGTAAAATGGGTAGATGAAAATAATAACCTACTTCAGAGGTGTTTTGAAGCTTTTGAATTCTCAGAGGTACTTTGAGAACACCAGCTGAAAGACTCCTCAGTGATGTAATTGCCACAATTAGAAATACTGTAGCCATTTGAAACATGAGGAGAGGTACTATGGGTTTCTCCTCTTGGCTGGAGTTAAATTCTTGTATTAGACACAGATCAGGCCAAAAATAACTTGCTCATTTCTCCAATTATTTGACAGATTATAGCTTGCCTATAATGTTACTGTGTTTTATATTTATGTTAAGGACTCTTATCGTGGAGCTGTGGTGAGGGTTATACAGAACTTTATCTGCTGCTTTCTATTCTAAATTGAGTAGGGAGGAAGCTAGGTGACAGCTCTCCCACTCCTCAGGTCTGGGACATCAGTCAGGTCCTGTGACAGCAGGTAATAGAGTCAGCAAATTGCTTATTCAGAGTGGCAGCAAAACAGCAGAGAAAACTGCAGTTTATCTTGAATCGAATATTAAATGACAAATCAGTTTACCAAACAGAAATATTTTGATTGCATTTATACTAAAGAATTATTCCATTTAGAATTTCCAGCAGCTGTAGTTTCTGTTGAAAATACATTTTGACAGAAAATTTGTTGCTAAGTCTGTCTCAAATAGAGGTAGTAATGCAGTGCAGTGAGTTATGACTTCTGTAATGTTCTTGAAGATAAAACATACTTGAAATACTGATTTATGCCTGCAGTATCAGCCATGCGGTAAGTGTCCTAGACCTGACACAATTATTCTGAGAAACCTTGCTTTTGTCAATTTGATAAGTTAACATGATCACTACCAGACCAGATAGAGAAAACATGCCCATCCATTATCTCTAGACTATTTTTATCTGTAATTTGATAGATTAATCATCAGATGCATTCAATATACATTTTGGTGAATCGGCACTATGTTCCTTCCAAATAAACTACTGAAGGTTTAACATCAGACTTCACCAATCTATGTTAATTCGCTGGTGCATTTTGAATAAATAGAGAATGTCAAAATATATCCCCAGTTCCTGGAACTGTGATTATACGTAATTTCTGAATATTCAAGCTAAAGGCAATTAATTTATTTTCTAGCAAACATATAAAAGTTATAAGTTCGACTCAGAAAATATGCAATTTATGCCAGTTTCTGAATTGCATAAATATATTGCTTTGCTGTGGACAGTCTTCACTTTATTTCACATTTGTGATGAAATGCAAGGCCAGATGCATGCATTAAGGGTACATGGCCTCTTGTAGGCCTGTGTGTTTGAAGAAAAAGCAGGAGATTAAGAAAACCATATGTAACTGCCAGTGAAGGAAAATGCAGTATTAGTGAAAGAAAAACTGGGCATGTCAAGGAACTTGTATATTGGAAATTACTAAGGAGTAATCAAAGCATTTCAGCTTAAGACACAAGATGGTTAACAAAGGTGATACAGTGTTTCCTTGCCCACCTGATAACTGTCATGTTGGAGTGACTGTATATTTATAGAGTGTTCCTATGGACAAACACTTATGCCCTGTGCTTTTCAGATTCCTCCAAAGAATCATATTCAAGCACAGAGAAACATTTCCATTGTATTAATACAAGTGTAAGTTACCATTTTAAACAAGTAGTTAAACTGCATTGTAAAAAATAACAGAGAAAACACATGAAGCAAGGGTGTGTGTCTGGCATCAGGTGAAAAGACAGAAAACGCCCTTCCGACAGGCCATATTACCCTGTGCAAAGTATCTCCATTCTCTTGCTGTGATGACAAGAATAAGTTCTTGCACTCTAATTAAAGAGAGGAAGAAAGAAAAAGTCTTGTCTACCAGATGGGAATAAATTATAACAATTACTTGGCATATATACTGTTTCTGAAGCCTAAAGTAGAAAATTTCCAGGATGCTATTCTATGGGAAATTGAAGTCAGGTTCTAAATTTCAGGACTGTCTCATGCAATCTAAAACAACTGGTCAACCTAATATAAGCTGCTCTGAGAAAGTGAGCTTTTAGTGTTTTCTAAATTTTCAATGTAGGTAAAAGTTAAAATTTTGGTAGGATGACTTTCCAGAACTCTTTGGATGTATTTTTTCTAAATTCAGAAACTTTATTTTTGACATTTAATAGTGTCTAAACCTGTGTGTAAAGTGAAAAACAAAGAAGAAATCCTGTTACTGAATATTTCAAGTTCATAAAAATGCGCAATATTGTTTTGGAAAACCTCCAGAAGAAAGGAATCATTTTTTAAAGGAATACCAAATTTAAAAGAAGCTTTTGCATTAAAGAAGTCCTGAATCATAATAGGAAAAGAACTTAGAAAAATATTCCATATGGTTATGACAAATTTTCTTCATAAGCACTCTGGACAGGGCTATAATCTGCAGCCCCCACTGGGCACATACTTCAGAATGAAGAAGAGTTGGAGGAGATTAATAACAAAAGTAAAGTACTCTTAGGAAAATGTATGCAAACAAATGTTGTTCTCACGAATATATCAGTGGCCTAACCATTTGCCGTAGGTAAGCATCCAGTGGTGATGTTTATACCATGTTCGTAACCTTGCCAAATTTAAAACTGCATTAAAAATTTCCTTGCTTTTTATGAGTAAGATTAATTTAATCTTGAAGGAAGGCTTCTAATTCTCTGCTTTTACTGTTGTGCTGAGAAAGTGCATGGAAATGGATGCAGTAATCCCTATGATCCATGTGAAATTCTTCTGGGATGTAAAGTGCTATATAAATATTTAGACTTACAATACAGTACTATTATAATTAATATCACAGAGGCCTAATGAGGCACAGGTTATAAGGTCTCTCAAGCCCTTGAAGAACTACAGAACATCAATGAAGGCAGTAAGATACAAGATTGGTTAAGCTCAGTTGAAGGAAATATTACAAAAAGAGGTTTTGGTTTTTCGATGTTTGCTTTTTTTAAAAAAACATATGCTCTGAATTCTCAAACTGTGACTTAGAACATACATGAAAAATTACCTCTGTTTTGCAAGTCTAGTTGTATATAAGCTCCTACAGAGACAAGCCATTAAGAATAATGAAAGTCTTTTAAAAATACAATTAGGAACAACAAATTAACACAGTTACCGATAAAGAAAAGTGGTCATGGCTAGGGAGAAGAGATTGTGTTTGTGCTGTGTGGTTTTAAGGGGGAGATGAAAAAGCACCATCATTCTTGTCACAGCACGATTCTTATTCCCTGCTGTGCCATCTCATAGTTTGAGATTAAACTTTTGTAACTTCAGAACCGTTATTGATGCTTTTTTCCTTCTTTACAACCTAGTGGTAAATTCAGTAGCTTTTAAAATTACAGCTTAAACTGTTGCCCTGGAATTGTTCTGCACTTGAATTTACGTTTTCATCGCATTCTGGGATGATGGAAGAGACTAATACTTTTCCATAGGTTTTTGAACTTTGCATGAATTAGCAATCTTTTCTTTCTTAGAATATCCTTCAAGAAAATTGAATTTTCAAAATTACAGTTGAAAAGGAAAGCTTTGCTTCTACTTCACAGAGATATATTTCCAAAAACAGGCAAAATGAATTCATGATAAAATTTTGTGATTTTTTTGGCACGTGAGCATATATATGTCTGTATGTACATACATATGTATGTATATGTGCGTTTATATATAAACAGAGAGAGAAAGGGAGACCTACCTACATATTGCAGAGAAACAGTTTGTCAAATTAAAGATGGTAATCTCTTCTTAAAAGAGAGGATTTGTTTCGATTTCTTAACATCATTTTGCATTTTATGCATAGTTTCTAAGACATGCATTTTACTGTATCTAGAATTAAATTCTGTTTCTCTTTCCAGAATATTTGAAAGTAAGTAAAATAATGTTTTTCACACGACTTAGAAAAAAAACCAGTCCAATGGGAAGACGTTTTTTTCAGTTGTTTGTTGGATAAAATATGGCGTTTTCTGAGCAAATAATCTCATACACCCCTTCATAACAGTATGTTTTAGTAGACAGAAATAATTTGAAGACATGGATATAACGAGCTGGAAACACACCTGGATTTATGATTAAGGAGCAACAATGTGTTATATATCAAACAATTCTACTCTGATTATTATGTAACATAAAAGAGTAATAAACCTTAGAAGTGCTTATAAATAAGACTTTAATGTAAAACATATCATTTTACTATTGATGGGATATACACAGCCCATGTTATTTTACAATACTGTACTCTTAATCTGCTTCTAACCAGTAAATATGCCTAGGGAATCTCACTTTGCTTTTGTGTTTATGAAACAAACTGCCAATAATAACAAGTGTTTCAAATGGCTGAAATCTTACACTTACCTGCAAACTTGATGTGGAATTTATTCTCAGGTTTCAGTATTTGGACATACAAAGGACAATTTGGAGCAAAGTCTTTAACTGCCCATGCTCTTAAAATGGTTTGATGATCCTAGAATAAAGGGTGTGAGGTGATGATAATGAAATACAAAAAACCATGTCACATTAGAAAAAGCCTCTTATCCGACTGACCAGCTGGTGCAGATGTTTATGTACATGTTATAAGTAATATTATGTATTATGTATATTATATATATTCAAATATATAGAATTATAGAATTGTTTAGGTTGGAAAGACACCTTTAAGATCATTGAGTCCAACTGTTA